GAAGGAAGTTCGTAGCAGAGAAAAATACATTGTAAAAGAAATTGATCCTATTAAATTACTGAAGATTCTCGAGGGAGCTGATGTCCTATCTCAAATAGACTGTGAATCTATTACGGCGGCATTTAACAATTACGGAGCGACTCATGCGACACAATCTGAACTTCTCTATCGCTTGAAGAAACGTGGTCCCAACGCATTCTCGAAGTTCGTCGCAGCTCTACGCGAAGCAGGACTAGGTCATGCTGCTCAACTTCTAGATCCAAAGCTTCAAGGTAAATAATTCAAAATGTTTCAATGAGAATGTTACATTTCAAAATACATCTAGAACATTAAGGACTGGAATCTTTTGAACTGATGATTGATGAAGCTTTCCAGTGTCAATATAGACCGAAGTGAAATCGGATTGTGAAATCGAATTAAATTTTTAATGGCCAAGTTTTTACTTTTAATAGTACAATCTGAGGTTTCTCTTCTGTACAAATTAAACAGTTGCAATGTTTCGTGAGAGGAAAGTTGGATCAATGTAGACCGAAGTGAAATCGAATTGTGAAATCGAATTAAATTTTTAATGGCTAAATGGCCATAGTTAAATGCATTGATGTTGGCCCAGGAATGTAGAAATTAAATGGCTTCAAATCCAAGTTTTTACTTTAGTACAACTAAGGTTTCTCTTCTGTACAATTGTACAAATTAAGAGTTTCAATGTTTCCTCAGAGGAAAGCTTTACTTTGGATAAAATCTACGGGTAAACACCAGGTAAATTCCTGTAACAGGTGTGACAGCCATTTAAATTGCTAAACAAGGCATTTAATTTCTGCATAATATTACATGTGATTAATACGGTCATGCGATAAGGGGCCGGTCACGCTAGACGCCATCTTGAATCACGAATTGAACCCAAATGTTTACATTTACAATGACAGCATTGCAAAAACCAATCCGATACAATGTAACTCATATGATGCATGATTTAGGGTGTATTATCAAGTATATACTCGGGTAACAGTGTTACGAGTGTTACACTATCTTTATTTAGGGGTGGGGTTAGGGTTAGTGTGTGTAACACTATGTAACACGGTGGGGTTAGGGTTAGTGTGTGTAAAACTATGTAACACTGTCAACACTCAGTAGCACTGTGTAACACTATGTAACAATGTGTAACACTATGTAAGAATATGTAACATTGTTTAACACTGTGTAACACTTGTAACAGTGTTACAACTGGTGCCATAATAAAGCCACCCTAAATCGTGCATGGTATAATGTAACTCATAGCATTATATAGATTTTGTGCTTTTAGTTTTTTACTACATGTATAGTGTTATAAAACAGTCCTTTATGCCATTGAAACACTACAGTCTAGGGACCGTTGAGTGAGAGCCTGTTTAAAAGTGTGGGGGGGGGGG